GTTTTTTATCAACGGTCACCATCATAAAATGGCGTTTAAAGCGTTTAAGCAGAGTCTACTCCGTAAAAGAAGAGATCACCAAACCGGTCATTGGTTTGAGCTTTCCCACCAAGCATCACAAGCCCTTTCTTACCATCAATGGTCCCAGTCGTAGACGCGGACCAAGCCCTGATTTTCGGACTCACCACCTCTTCACCAAGCTTATCCAACTTCTCCCACACCAACGTCTCTGTATCCAACGCAAAAGTCCCATCCGCCAATTGACCCGGACCCACGTGAGCTAGCGGGTCCATGGCAATCTCACCACCAAAGATCACTATGTATTTCCCGACAACTGCGCTAGCGAACACACTCCTCTCGGAAGGCTTCTGACCATATGTTTCCACTTGTGTCCACTTGTCTTCAACAGGATCGTAGTAATGAACATCACTTACTTCACATCCGTCGAATCCATACACAACCCATACCTTCCCTTGCACCACTTCTAGCCCGGCTCCTCCTCTTGCGGTCATGGAATCTCCCGGGGTCGAACATTGCTTCCACTTGTGATCAACGATGTTGTAAGCGTCTAGTGTCTTGAGCCGAACCGTAGCACCCACGCCACCGAAAACATAAACGTTGTTCTCATCGGCTGCCATCGAGTGGAAGCTACGAAGAGCGGGTCCTTCTTCGACCGGAGTTAGCAGTTTCCACTCGTTCTTGGTCGTGTCGAACGAGTAGAAACCGTTGTACTGGCGGGAGGCGTCTCGGCCTCCAAAGACATATAGGTTTGAACCAACTGACACCATGCGGACGCCTAAGCAAGAGAGGTGAGGGACGTCTCCGGTAGCTGGAGCAATGGACCAAGTTCGGGTCTCGAGGTCAAAGGCGTAAAGGTGTTTGTCGATGGGCTGATTTGGTGTGAACTCGCCACCAAAAGAGTAGATCGTGTTTCCTACCTGTGCTATGGCATGTGAGCATCTTGGTCGTGGAGCCTCTCCTTTTTGCTCCACCTTATAAATTGTTAACATTCAACGTTAAGTAATTGTTTTAATTAAGTGATTTATGGTTTCACGGTTTTTATTGAAATAAAGTTTAATGAACTTGTAAAATATAACGCTAAATTAAGTCAAACTTTCTTTACTTATTCTACTACTATATATGCCTTTTTCCACGATTTTGGGATCACGGAGTGTCACCAATCAAAACATTAACTTCTTCTACATGTTAATGTTTAGAATCAATTTTAACTGGTCTAAGAGATTACTACCTCTATCCACTTTCCAAGCAATTTCGGAGTGGACGGTAAGGTAATATAGACCCCAAGAGAGTGTAGAACATCCGTCGAACGTCCATGAAACCCAACGATTTTGGCACCTTGGAGCACAAACTTTGTCCCGGGTTTTTTTTCAATAGGTTGAGAGGTTTTGCCTTTATAAGTCTTGAATGTAAGATCCGTGATGACTTCTGTGTCTACCCCATCAACTTTGTCACGGTAACCTTCCACAAATACGATGTAGTCATCTGAATCAACCTCGAACTGCAAAAATTCCAAACAATGATCTCCATACGAAAGAATAATCAACAAAAGACCCTCTTAAACAAAATCTCAACATAAATATTCGTACCTCCTCAATTCGTAGGGATGTCTTATTATTTCCATGTTCATCTCCAACCACCACTTGAGAACCATTGACATACTCAATCTTGACGAAGGCTATACAATCTTGGCCTTTTCCTACATATACCTTTCTAACGCCGTCGAAAGTGCCATCATCCCATTCGTTGCCACCATTTCCTCCTTTTGTTTCCACCTTTTGGGCCATCTCTTTTGCTTGCTTTTGATCGATCTTACGAATATTGGCCTGTAATTGCGAACACTAATTGTTTCAACCATTTTTTATTTATATTTGAAACTTAATTGTTTCAACCATTGCAGCCAAATTCTAAAGAGCTACTACTTGCTACATGAAAGACTACTAAAAAGATAAGGAAGTAAGGAGATGACCTGAGAAGGTAGCAATGGTCGATGATCCATAATGGGGAACCTGCATGGGTATTTATGGACCTCTAGAGTAGACGTCGTCATGTTTGCTTCAATTACTATTCTAATTATCTCGTGATCCGCGTGGTATTGAAATATTAATTTTTGGAGATGTTGAATCAATCAAGATGATTTCAACAAGTGGTTAGGAAATAATGATATACCAGCTCACTTCATCTTCTTCTTTTTTTCTCTTTATAAATATATGTTTTTTCTCTTATATAGGCCATACGCCCATATTATCACACATATTATATTTATGCGTATGTTAGTAATACATGTGAGTCATAGCATGTGTATATAAGAAGCAATTACTGTACAGTTACAATTAATGAGAAATCTTATCCTTTTAACAAACTTCTTCAGCTTAAGCTTTTCCTCTGAGTTTGTTATGGTATCAGAGCACTCACGATCTAGAAGATGAGTGTTTCTTCGTTTCTCATTCACTTTTTCTCTATGATTCTCGTTGTTACTTGCTTCGTCTTCACCATCATCCTTCCATAGATCTGTTTTCCTCTTTCGTTTGACCTAAATCGAGCTTGATTTGGTGTTTTTCAGCTTGAGATCTGAGTTTTTCTTCTTTTTTGTTGACCTAATTGTGTTCGATCTCTGTTTTATCGATTGATTAATTCTCGGCACAATTCTTTCTTCACTTGACTTCAATCGACTATGGTGTCTGATTGGATTCCCGCTTCTGATGGTGTTGCGAACAATCTATGTGATCCAATCCGTCAAT